AAAAAAAAAAAAAAAAAAAAAAAAAAAAAAAAAAAAAAAAAAAAAAAAAAAAAAAACCATTAAAAAACACATCAGATTGAAAAAAAAAACCACAAAAGAAGAAGCACAAACTTGACTACAGAGTAAGCAGGATTGTCTTGCAACGGATTGGAATACGTCTGCCATCAAAACAACCACCAAAATCAATAAAATGAGCAGTAAAATAAGCGGGGATTACCAAATCAATTCAAACAGTACCAATTTCCATTTGAAATCAACAGAGTGAACTAAAACAAACACACCCAGATATAACTAAATCTCAATAAGATAAACAGAGTAAGTACACTTCACCCAAGAAATCAAATCAGATGGGGTTGGTAAAATCTTACAGACAGATCGGAAATATAATCGGACAAGTGAGGAACATCTTCAAGAACATAACCAGCATCGCCAAGGACGATCTTCGCGTTGCTATTATCAATGTTATTACCTGTAGCTGCCATTAGAGTTTGATTTTCAAACAAGAAACCCGATGATGAGGGGGAAGAGTGAGTTGCCGGGGGAAATCGCAAATCTGATTTGATTGAAGAAGAAGAAAGTATATATATATTATATATGGGTAGTGTTGACCAAATAGAGAAAGACGACCCGTAAAAGTAGAAATTGAAAAGACGCTAAAATGGGTTTGTGGGATCGATGGGGCTGAAAAGAGTCTGGTATTTGCGAAGATGGATGGGAAGAAAACTGGTGGCTGAAAACTGGAGGAACTGCGACCACTTTCTTCTACCGAATGATTATTGGGAGGAAAATAAAAGTTACCATACAATGCTTCCGAGAACAGAGGGGTTTGTAGATTCGTGAATCCATTTCCTTGTGGGAATTTGATGCCTTTCATCGGCCGACACACCTGATTTTTTTTCTTTTTTTTTTCAATGAATTTTCACAAACCCCATCTATATCAGGAATTTCAATTTTCGTACATTAAAAATATATTAAATAATAATAGTATTTTTTTTTATATATAAAAAAAAAAAAGAACTGTACGGAAAATATGATAGAGATTCCCTCGTTTGCGAGAATTCCTTTAATAATTCGTAAAGTTTATTTATTTTTATGTAATAAAATATATAGCCTCTCAATTTTAAATTAATTATTTTATTACATGTCGAAAAAAATCACAAAATTTTATGCTAGATTTTTAAGCTTTGATAAGCGTTTAAGTTATGATTATGGATATTTTGAAATTTAAAATTATAACATTTTTTAAATTTTAAGATTTAAACTGTAACATAACGGTTGTTTATGAGTGAAAATTAACTTTATTTTATTAATTTCTTAGGTTTAGGTAAACAATATTTTATCATTTTAAAAAATAATGATGTAGCTTTGGGCAAAAATATCAAGCAAATTTAATTGGCTTTTGGCTTGATTTTGTTAATGTTTTTTATTTGGACTTTAATTTTATATTTGATATGTGAGTATGTTGACGTAAGCATAATTTATTAATTAAGAGATATACTTCATTGACTTATTTAATTTTAATATATATAAAAAGAGTATCCTAGCTCCCATATACCAAAAATAAATAAATAATAATAGCAAGATGAGAGTATCCTAGCTCATATTTGATATTAAAAAAAAAAAATGTATGCTTTGAAAATTGTGGGTAATAATTTAATATTTTATTAATAAATATAAAAAGTGAGAAAACAAGCATAATTTAGAATAAATAAATATCATCAAATTAGATAATTATAAATAAAAATGATGCATTCGGGGTGTAAAAGTAGGTTTGAAAATTTTATAAGGTAGCATCCATTAAAATTTAAATATGAAAAGAAAACAAATGAAAATATACCATTTATAGAAAAAAAAAAGTTAATGTATTAATTAATTGATTGGACTAAACTTGACGTAAAAAAATGTACTTAAAATTATATAAATTTCATGATATTTATCTTAGTAAAAGTATTAATTTGTAAAGTATTATAATTCAGAAAATAAAATTTTGAACTAAAAAGTAATTAATTGATATATACCATAATTGACATAAAAGTACGTATTTTATTAAGAGAGAAAAAAATAAGAATATTTGAATTGAAATATGTAACTATTTAATCAAACATAGGGTGAATTAAATTATTTGATTCGGAGAGAATAATAAAGGTAGGAATCGCGTTGTCAATATCCACGTGTCGTAATGTGATAGGAAAGGCTGGATAACACGGCCACGTGTGGAAACTGCTTTATACGTTGTTGTTTAGACTTTTATTTCCTTTTTAGTTTTTTAAGTTGTTTGTTTCTTGAATCAGAGTAAGCGGTGTAATTTAATCCGACGGCTTGGATTCGCCCTTTTTTTTTTTGTCTTTTTCTTTTTGATAAATGGAACATTAATTCGTATGCGGTGCACAGTTTCCATGTCATTTGTTTGGTTCCATTCACTTAATTAAATAGTTTTTTTCATTTCCAAATACGATGAACAATATTTCAATTTATAATAATAATGTAGACATATTAAAAATTTAAACGAAGAACTCGTGTTGTGTTTTAATCAATTGAATTAGGTTTAGAATTTATCACGTGATTAAATACTAATATTTTATTTTAATGCAAACCACCCAAAAAAAAAAAAGTCTAATAAATCTCATAAATTCAACGTGTAATATTGAGACATGCATTCGTGAAAGTCGAGGATTACGTTAATTTATTATTAATTTAATTATGAAAGTGTAATAAAAATGGCTAAATTACAAAGTTATTCTTTAATTCTTTTAGTTTTTTAAAAATTGATTTATTTGATCCATATAGTTAAAGAACTAAATTCCTTAATTTTGAATTCTTATTTAAAATGATTAAAAAATAATAAATGATAAATAGATAATAATTTATTAAACACATAATTAGAAATTTACCTAACCCAAATGGTTGCGCCCAATGTGGGGTGCAGTGACCCGCATGGGCGGCCATGCTGATCTGGATCACTAAAACAGCTGGCTTATACACACTCAACAACTGCCATCCAATGGTTTTACAAAAGAACCGCCCCCGTAATCAGCGCCCTTCAGTTTCCTTCACACGTTCTCTCTTAATCATCCAATCCACAAACCTCATTTTATATTTCACTTTTTCATCATCTAGAATCTTCCATTTTCTATTCCATATCCTTTACGGTAGAGATTCATGAGGTAAGAGTCCAAAATCATCGCTAGTAAATATTGTTATCTTCGGATTTTTCTATTATGCTTTTCCTCAAGGTTTTTAAAACGATATTACTATAAAAAGGACACCCTTATAAAAATGTTTTTGTTCCCCTCTCCGGCTAATATGAAATCTCACAATTCACTCTCCGAGACCAGTATCCTTATTGATACTCGTTTCTCTCTATCTGGTAATTAGTTGATAAATTATACTTTAATACCTACTCTGTTTTTACCGTTGATTTTTTAATGAAGTTATGATTGAAGGGTTAAACTTAAAATTAATGGATAAGAATCCAAGGATCCAGATCATACTTGAACCATAATTATGTTTGTAATATGAAAATATTAGAGAAAATAGTGAAAGTGGGGCTTTAATATACCTTTGCAGTTTAGCTTGACTTTCCTTGTGAATCAATAGCAAATTCAAGTCCTCAAAAGGCCACAAGGTGGCAATGCCTGAAACATGAAGAAGAAGAAGAAGAAGAAGAAGAAGAAGAAGAAGAAGAACAGAAAACACAGACACCAACAGTCTTATAAAGCAAATCAAATTCAGTTTTATTCCTTCTTTTGCTCTTACTGACTGATAATAAAACAGAATTTCCAAGAACAGAGTATTAGGTTATATCAGATGGCTAACTCCAGTTTCTTCTTTGACTTACCAGACATCCCATGAGAACATGTGGAACACCAATTTAAGCAGCGTCTTACACTCGTGAATCAAATGGCTAGTGAATGATATGATATCAATAAGAAAGTAGAAAAAGGTACCTCCTTGTTGTCATTGATGAGGAATGCTGCAACGCCAAAATGATGCGAGGAGTCAGAAGAAAGCATGGAGGACAGATCAGGAATCCAGAAAGTGAGCATGGCATACCCTGCTTCAGCATGATGATAGTTGAACCCCTCCTGAAAATTACAACTCTAAAATATCTAATAATACCCATGAAATCAAAACATCAGGTAATATCTCACATTAATAGCCACGAGAACAAGTTCATCCTGCTCTGTATGTAATTTGAGCCATAGCCGAGTTCCCAAGAGAAACTGTGGTATCAAAAAGACGAAGAAATTTTACTTTTCTCGGACTTTGTGTAATACAAACACACCGCTAGCCGATATTGTCCTTTTTGGGCTTTCTCTCAAGGTTTTTAAAATGGGTCTGTTAGGGAGTAGTTTTTGCACCCTTATAAAGAATATTTTGTTCTCCTCCCCAACCGAGGTGGGATCTCAAAACTTGAGTCTCCCTTGGAAGAGAGATGCTCGGAGAGCTGATGTAAAAGTGTTTGCAGAAGAGGGTAGGCTCTGGGAATTAATGATGACCACTTCAATTCATCATTCCTGTGATCTATAAGTTCCACGGCCATGTTTGATGTTGAAATGTCAGGAGACAAAACATCAAATCCTGTTCTTTTGCGTCCAATGTTACCATCGATGGGAATGAGTTTTCTAGTACATGAGGTTTCTGGTACAACATCCTTGTTCAGGACACCTCGATTATGTTCTTTAAGAGTTGAAGGAAGGAAGGAATGATTAGATGGAAGTTGTAAACCAACCCCACCATAAAATTAGAACAGAGAATATAGGAAAGGAAAAGTGACAAGTATGAGTGAATCTTTTTAGGGAATGTCTACAGCACTACAATTTCAAGCGATCTTGCATGTTGGGAGGAAAAGAAGACACTACCTTTTGGCCAGCTCTGGAAACTTGTCCACCTTCTTGTCATAGGAAAGCGCATTGTTATTCTCCTTGAAGAAACCAAGCTGCAGAAACCAGATCAATCCCTCATGGGAACTCCCTATAGAATTGCATGCATACAACTTCTTTTCATTACTATATATGTAACACCTCAAACCCACTGCTAGAAGACATTGTCGTCTTTGGACTTCCCCTCGAGAGGACACACCTTTATAAAGAATATTTCGTTCCCCTTTCCAACCAATGTGGAATCTCACAATCCACCTCATTTGGGACCAGTGTCTTCTGGCACTCGTTCCTCTCCCCAATCGATGTGAAATCTCACAATTCACTCCCTTCGAGATGCAATGTCTTCATTGGCACACTGCCCGGTATCCACCCCTTTTGAGACCAACATCTTTGCTGGCACATTATCCAGTGTGTGTCTTTGATACCATTTGTAACAACTCAAACCCACCAACAGTAGATATTGTCCTCTACGAGCTTCCATCCGTGTTAGTAAGAGGTTTCAACACCTTTATAAAAAATGCTTAATTCTCCTCTCTAATCGATGTGGGATCTTAAGTTTAACATGGTGGAATACTCAAATGGTTCGATGATGCAGGAGTAAAAAAGGAAAAATAAAAGGAATATGAATATAAAAAGGAATAGCATAGGCAGAGCAACCTCTACGTTTGAAAACTGATTCAGTCATTTTATCAAACACCTGATAGGCAAAAAGGAAGCAGCCATTTGTACGTACCCAACTCCCCACCACAACTACATATCGACGTCCTCCATAAGATAAACAATCAGAATATGCTACACATTATTAAGCATGTCGTGGTTTTACCTGCCATTTTCATCAGAAGAATATAGAATAATTTCCCTCGGTTAGTGCTGCAATTTTGGTAGCATATGGCCAAATATTCTATTGCTCTTCCATATCCCTCCTCAAGGTTGATCACCACAACATGACGACACCGAGCACTGAAATTTGAAGGCCAGATTAAACACAATCTCATGATTTCTTCGGCACATCCTCAAAGGTGATGGAATCCCGCAATCTGCCTTTAGGGCTAACAAATCTCAGCTCAAATCCATTTTCTTTCTAAAATTTCTTGTTTCTTTGTTTTAGAATCTAAGAATGTTTTAATTTTATATTTAAAAACAAAAATTATTTTTTTAATTTTCAAAATTCTCAAACAATGGGATGATAAAACAATGGTTTTGTTTTGTACTTCTCCAAAAAAAAGTCTCTCAATTATTCATCATTTATAAATTCATGATCATTTCTTAAATTAGTCAACGTCTGCCTCCCAACAATTTTCAACACTCCTCCCCTTGAACAAAGTACCACTAGAGCCTCCTCTGAGGCTTATGAAGCCCTCGAAAAGTCTTCTCTTATCGAGGCTCAACTCCTTCTTTGGAGCCCTCGAATAAAGTTCATCCTTTGTTCGACACTTTAATCACCTCTTGGCTACACCTTCGAAACTCACAATTCTTTGTTCGACATTTGAGGATTTTGTCGACATATATAAATTTAGAGCTTGACACTGTACCAATTTGTTAGGTTTTGTTGTAACTAAGGGAGAAACACAAAATTTGTTAGAAAGTACCAAAAATAAAATAATATTTCATACATAATTAAAAATTTAAATAAGAATTTGTAAATAAATCTAAGATATATCAGTCAACACAATCATAGTTCTTGAAAATAATTTTGAAAAGTAAAAGCAAAAGTCTAATTATATATATAAAAAAAGGAATCTCTTATATAATATAATTTGGTAGAATTAAGACAGATATTTTAACCCAAAGTAAGATTGAATGAATATTTTATGGAATAATTTAAATTTATTTTGTTTTGTTTTTAGGTTTCTAATCCTCAAAGCTCGAAATTGGCACTTCAATTATACATGGAGGCCCATAAGGTTCATAAATTAAATAATGTCTACTACTATATTAATTGGATATATTTAATGTCACATGCATAGAAAGCATTATAAAATCTTATAATAATGATGTAATGTGACATATATATATGTGTTATAATTCATTCAATTTTCTCTTTTTATGTTACAATGAAAGCCACGAAAGTAGCCAAATAAATTGGATTTCATTAAATGCAACTGTTTATTCCTTATCTTTTTAGCTAAATTTAAGTTCCCGAAATTTTGAAATGTGTAATATGCAGGTTGTTTATGGATTGGATCAGATCGCGTTATTTTTAGATCCAACATAATTGATAATCGAAAAGGTAATTACATGAATTTTTATCATAGGATAAAATGAGAAAATTTATACAGTTAGGTCGGCCATTAAATCATGTTTGAAAATTGTCCCAAGAATCAAGATTCAAAATATATTTTGTTGACATATTTTATTTTATAAATATCTATTTTGTCAAGTTGCAATAATAATAAAATGGAACTCCCAATTATTGCAAACAATGGTGGAATATGAATTTATGTTCCAACAACCAAAGACAACCATATAAACCGTACAAATTAACTGTAACAATGATATTGTACTGCTCAAGGACATATGCCCCATCTCTCAAATTAAGATTTATTATTATTATTATTATTATTATTTTTACTATAAGATCATTTTTTTTTAAATTACAATTAACCGTGACAATAATATTTACTGTATACTAAATACAAATTATTAACATGAGTATAACTCAATTGATATAAATTTTCCTATTATAACGTAAAATAAATGGTATATATATCTCAATTCACAACCTCGCTTAAATAATAAAAAAAATAAAAAAAATTCATCTTGTATAAGTTGGAACCTCATTTAATCGACATGTATATATACTTATATCATCCATTAGTAGATTAGTAGATTAGTACATCAGTTGGAGAAGGAACAAAACATTTCTTATAAAGATGTTGAAGTCTACCTATTAGATGCGTTTTAAAATCGTGAGGTCGATTACGATAGGTAATAGACCAAAGTGGGCAATATTTGCAAGCGATGAACTTAGACTGATACAAATAGTATCAGAGTCAAACACCGCGTAGTGTACCAACGAGAACGTGGTCTCTGAGGAGGTGGATTGTGATATCCCGATTAAGTTGAAAATAGATGAAAAAAATGAGAAAGGGAGAGAGTTGGTGGAAAGTGAAGGGTTCTGAATCCCATCATTTGGTTCCAACATTGGTGAATGAGAATGTGAAACAAAACGTGAAGCCTAGCCATCATCTTATCATTTTAACCCTTTTTTTTCTTTTTCTTTTTCTTCAAAATCTCTTGCAAATGGCCCCACTTTCCCACGAAACTTAATTCGTAACCGCTCGTACATTCAAATTTATAACAATTTAGTCCTTATACTTTACACTTTCTAACAATTTAACCCATACAGAGACTAATCGATACCGATTTAATTTATAAATTTATAACGAAAGAGATAAACCTATTGAATCGTGTTGGTGTGCTTCTGGTCCAAGTTTCCATAGCTCCTTTTTAGGGTTTTAATCAGCCCTAATTACAAGCCATGGTGGTGGTCCATCCAGGTCTGCGTACTCCTCTTCATTTCCCTTTCTTATGAAGCAAACCCTTCTTCATTCTCTCTCCTCTTTCTCTCTCTCTCTCATCATTCATCCACCTCAAGACCCATCAAACAGATCCACTTCTCCAAAATAATTGAGACACACTGTTGAAAACAATTAAAGCTCCTATCTTTATATTCATTTTCATGTATTATGCATACTCTATCCCCTATTTCTCTTTACTTTACTTCATACGTACCTTTCATAACCTCATAGCTTACTCGGAACTGGCACGTACTATTTCTCTTAAAGTTAGAGTTCGATATTGTTCGAGTCATTTTTTCATCTGGGTCATAGGCAAAACCAACGTCTTGATTCGAATAACTACATATATTCTGTACTTTAGGGTTGAATTATAATATGGGGTTTAATTTATATTTATATATATACCTAACTTTTATACTATAATAAATAATAGTTGAAGCATATGTTTGTATGGTTTGGTATTTAATTAATTATATAAGCTTAGTGTATACAAAGTACGAGTACATAGTACTATATATTATATAAATTATAATATCTATTTTAGATGGTATTAGCAACAGCTGTGAAGCTGCCCGTTTCTTCCCTTTTGTGCTTTTGTAGTCAAGGCTCAAAGAAAAGAGCTTAGAGAGAGAGAGAGAGAGAGAGAATTTTGATTTTCTTTTTTTTTTTTTTTTTTTTTTTGGTTGAAAAATTTGAACATGTCCTTTGTTTTTAATTCAGCAAAGGAGATAAAGGGTCGGTGGGTTTGTATTTTGTAAGTTGAATTAACAATAAAAACCCTTCCTTTTTCTTTTTTGCCCTTCTTCTTCTTCTTCTTCTTCATCTTTGTCTTTTTGAAAAACAAAACGGTGCCGTTTGTAGCGATTGCGGCGGCAACAAGATCGTTAGATTGTCGTCTGGGTTTAGGATATGAAGTGGACGACAAGTCAGTTGAAGAGAGGAATAGAGATATGAGAAATAGTAGCGAAATTATTGGTTCAATCGTCGGTGTCGGCGGCGGCGGCGGCGGCGGCGGCGGCGGCGGCTCTGATTCCTTATTAGATGCTAAGCTTGAGCAGCATCAGCTGTGTGGATCCAAACACTGCCCTGGTTGTGGCCATAAGCTTGAAGGAAGGCCGGTACTGATTTTTTTCTTTTTTCTTTTTTTTTTTTTAAAGATTTAAATTAAGTTCAAAAGGGTTTGTCTCTCTGTCTTTAAATTTTTGGGTTTGTTATTGTTTGTTGCAGAATTGGGTTGGTTTACCAGCTGGAGTGAAATTTGATCCGACAGATCAAGAATTGATTGAACATTTGGAAGCAAAAGTTAAATCAAAAGACATGAAATCTCACCCTTTGATTGATGAGTTCATACCCACAATTGAAGGAGAAGATGGGATTTGTTATACACATCCGGAAAAACTTCCAGGTTTTTTAATTTTCCCTTTTCGATTAGATTTGGTTTGGTTTGGTTTCGTTATTCTGATGAATTTGAATATGTAGGGGTTACTCGAGATGGATTGAGTAGGCATTTCTTCCACAGGCCATCGAAGGCGTACACGACGGGGACGAGGAAGCGGAGGAAAATCCAGACGGAGTGCGACTTACAGGGAGGGGAAACACGGTGGCATAAGACGGGAAAGACGAGGCCGGTGATGGCGAATGGGAAGCAAAAGGGGTGCAAGAAAATCTTGG